ATTACCAATAAACATTAAAAATTTTGTATCTTTGGATCTATGACAGATAAATTTAGTCTGCAAACGGATTTTGGTTGGGTATTTAGTGGTTTCTTATTTGGTGTATTCAAAAGCACCCGCACTAATCTGAAAACAAGACCACGTGGAAGTGTTTTTTCAAGAACAAATTCTTGCAGATAAAACCATTCAGTGGAAAAATCTAATTTTTCGTAAAAAAACTTAACAGAAATATTACTCATATAAAGCTAAAATAAAAATGGGGTATTGTCGATCAAAATAAAGAAAAAAATGCCTTCAAATATAAGTGAAACTTAAAAAGTTTGGTTTTTTGCTAATAACTTTTTGGTTCTATTTCCGATTTGCCTCAAAAAAGATTTTATGTACTTAGAAATTTCTCCCAGACATAAATGCAATGTCAGAAATAAGTACAGGTGTTCGGTTAAGAATTTAGTGGCAACGTGGTTTTTCAGTTTTCATGCTGTAGTTCAGTTGTTTTCAAGCGAAAAAATCTGGAAACAACGGAGATATCTGGGGGCTAAAAAGGCCTATAAGATGGTATAAAAATAAATTTAGGTTACTGATCTCCTTATAGCAGCGTTTGCGAAAAAGTAGTAAAATTTTTTCAGCTTTTAGGTTATCTCCGTTGCAAAGATCCTTGAGAAATCACTTGAAATTTTCACCACAGCAAAAAACAAACACAACCACGATATGGCACTACACAAAACACAGCAACACAGCAATTTGCAGACAAATCGGAAAACTTTTTCTATATTTAACGATTTTTAACAACGGGAGCGCTTTATAAATGATGCGTTCGCGGCGGCGGGCGGTACGGAACTGACTTCCATGTTGGAAAGTTGCGGAGTAGAAATGGGAGGGCAGTGAAGTGTCTTCTTGTAATAAATGGCCGTACCGCCGCCTCGGCGGTCGGGTCTGTCATTACGAAGAAGAGAGAAGTTTTTGATGGAGAGGCCTTTAGTGTCCTTAGTATTGAGATTAGTTTCCTGTAGGAGGAGGAAATCGGCTTCACGATTTCGAAGAAAGAGCTTAAGCTCTGGGAGGTTATTTCGCAAACCGCGAATGTTAAAGGATACAAGCGATAAACCCTTAAGATTTGATACGACCGTGAGACTTTGGTAGAGCAAACTGCTCTGTCATTGTGAGTTAAGTTAATTAAGTTAACTTAACTTACAACGAGCACAAAAGATTATGATGCTCTGCAAGAGCGAGGAGACGGTCCTGAGCGGACCTCGCAGCGGGCAATTTGCGTGCTAACACAGCGATTTCCTCAACGTTGATGTTCCTAATAGCGGAATACACCGTTTTTAGGTCATCAGCCATTGAGGGTTGTGATTGTTGTGGGGCGGAGGATGTCCGCGGTGGGTCTGCCTTTTTGGGGCCCCAGGGAAAGACTGGAGGCTGCATAGGCTGAGAGAAGCCCGGAGGGGGCCGAAGAGGTCCCTGAGGGGGCCTAGGGGGACCCTGAGAGGGCCGAGAGAAGCCCTGAGTGGGCTGAGAAAGGCCCTGACGGGGCATCCGTTGGTAAAGAGCCGGGAATGAGCGGTCATTGACCGGCGGTGGAGCTTGCCTACTGGAGCGAGGTTGAGGTGCGCAAGGGCAGCCTCTGTAGTTAGCCGGGTGGCCTGTTTATTTACACAGGACACACGCGGGTGGGGATTCGGCGTCTTTGGGCCGAGGACACTCTTTAGTGTTGTGGGGTTCAAGGCACTTAACGCACCTGGGTGGGGCGGAGCAGTTGGCCGCCGCATGACCATACAGCTGGCAGCGGTGGCACTGCGCCGGGAACCCGCGCCTATGTGGAGGCTCAACCCTCACTCTCGACAGGCCGCACACTGTGCGTACCTGCCGGAAGATGGCTTTCGCCTCCGGCACGTTGGTTAAAATTACTAGGGCAAGAGAGAACCTCTGGCCCGTTCTACTGTGCATTTTGTGCACGGCTTCTACTGGGAAACCTTGGGACTTAAGGTCCTCAAGGATTTCCTCGTTGGAAAATTCGAAGGGGACGCCGCGGATGACGGCCCTGACTTTGCGCTCTTCCGGGAGAGCGTACGTATGATAAGAAAATCGTTCGGCTGTGAATAGCCTGGTGAGACGCCGGAAGTCGTCGATTGATTGGGGGATGATCTTAATAGCCTCCCCGAGGTTGATGGCGTGGTCGTATTTTATGCCAGCGTTGTAGCAGGTTTTGGAAAATTCTGTGAATTTGGCCTTGTCTCTTAGGAAGACAGGGGGCGGGACTTGCTTCTTGGCAAGGACTGGAGCACAGCGAGAGGCTGGCTTGGTCGGAGCGGGGATGTCTAGTGACAAAAGTGGGGCCGAGGCAGCGACGGGAGCTGCGGGGGCAGCGGGAGCTGCGGAGGTTGAAGGAGCGGCAGGGGCCGCTGAGACAGTGAGGGTGCGGTTTTTCGCGACGCGTTTACCGCTGCGCTTGGAGTTCACCGTGGTGAACGAAGAATCCCCGGTTCCGTCGGAGTCACAGGACTCCGATGAACCGGTGCCAGAATTGGTGGCGGGCATCTTCCGGGAGGCCGACGCAGAGGACTCGGAGCATGCGTACTCCATTTCTAATGGGGCGAAAGAGTTCTTGGTCTCTAGGTAGGCCGCGAGTATGGGCGTGCTGAAATGACTCACCAAAGCGTCGACGCTGTACAGCGTGAGCAGGACAGCGAGGGCGCGAGAGCGCGAGAGCGAGAGAGCACTACCGTACGGGGACGGATGCGCGGACTACCTGGATACGACCGCTCGAGAGCGGTGCCACAGGCGGAATCTCCGCCGACCGTTCCGGCCGGCCCGTCTTATATATTATTTGGCCGTTGCTGGCCAGCGGACCCTTGCCTCACCCCCGCGCCTTTCTTTATTGGTTAGATTTCTTACAAACTAATGAACAGACTTAAATATATAACATTCTTACAACTACTTATTAAACTAATACGTACGTAACAATTTTTCTATATACTAAAAGTTTAAACGTTGTTTTTCAGCAACTTTGAGCTGAGGACCCTGCCCCCCGCCTCAGTACTATAAATATAAAACGTCGTGGCGCGGCGCGCGTAGCCCCATTCGCTCCGCGGCCGCGTCACGGTAACATGCCCTGTTTATTATTTTTCGTGCCTAAGGGCTTAATATATAAGAAATTAAATTGTACTATATAAAGGAATACAATTTACATACAATAATTACTTTACAATTTTACATTAATTGATTTCTACATTCAAATTTATGTTAACTCTCGCTATTCGTTCGGTGCCTTTATTGGGAGAGTTATTACATAGTTACAATACTATTTATTAAAATACAAAGCTATATTTGTCAATATTATTGTTACGGCTTTTCCCGCGTTGCTGTGTGCAACCACCGCTAGTTGTGGAACCGTGAGCGCGGCCCGACGATCGTAACACCCTCATGGCTCCGCCCACCGCCCCTAGGTTGTTCAACTAGCGTTGGTTACGACAAGCATTTAGTAAGTTCGACGTATCACTTTGTTTGCGTCGTGCACAAATATTAACGCAAATTGTAGTGTAATACTATTTCATTTACATACTTGTCATTTTGTACCACTTCTTTAAGCATATTGTTGTATAGTTAAAGTTTATATGAAGAAGGAGTGCAGAAAGCAAAAACTTATATGTAATATGTGCTATATAATATAAAAATGCGTTACAGATGGATTAAATAAAATAAATTAATTCTCTTTCGTCTTAATTCCCTCTCTTCCATACATTGTTTACGTTCATACTGTCAATGTGAAACACAATATTCGATGGTCAAACAGTCGCACAAAGTAGATATTGTCGCCAAAGAATTTCAAAATGTTGCCAACAAAATAATTATTGACTGAATGAGCTGTGAATTTTGTGTGATTTGAAATGTTCCTTCTCCTTAAAAAAAAAAAGTGTATTTTATATTTTGTATATGATATTTATGAACGTGCAGTTGAAAGTGAAATACAGCTTATTTAATACATATTATACTAAGTTAAAAATTTAAAGAATTATGACCGAATTTCAACCACTGCACGAGCACTAGTTCATATTCACTTCATAAATATTCATATCGTGATCTTCAACTGGCACGTCTCTCGCACGTTACGAAGCTTTTCTAAAAACTCTCATATACAGCATGCCAGATACTGGTATATATACTAGTACTTGGCATGGCAGACATGTATGTCACGGGCAGTTGAGTGTCAGTAGTATCCTTTTATATATTTTTTTATTATTCAATATAAAGTTGCAGCCTATTTACGTCCCACTGCTGGGCACAGGCCTCCTCTCATTTCTGAGAGGGTTTTAGGGTAAGGAAATGTCCGCCGCGCTGCCCCAATGCGTGTTGGTGAACTTCACATGTCTTCGAAATATTTTTTTTTCTTATTTCTCAGACATGCAGGTTTCCTCACGATGTTTTCCGGCACCGCCGAGTATGTGGTGAATCAGCACTTAAAATTGCAATTAACAATTTCATTGGTGTCGGTGGGGATCGAACCCGGGTTGCTCGAGTACTGTGAAGCTTACAGCGCGAGCGCTAAACATCTGAGCTAATTAATTCAATATAGATTACATATAATTCTTATTGATTGATTTTTTACTTTACCACTGGTTTGGAAAAATACCTCTGCCCTGGGAAGAACCAGCAAGAAACGCCGCGGGACTATTTGTTTTTAAAGTAAATTATACAATATGAAAGATAGTACAAATTATTTACAAAATTTATTTTAGAAAGAGCTTGGAAGCGACCACCTCATTCCCAAGGGTTATTATCAACCATGTATCCATTTATATTATAATAAACCTTTTTATACAGTTTTTGTTTAATAAATTATTTAAACTTGGTAATAGAGAGATCTTGTACTTATTTCCGACACCAAGCCACAGTGCTTGCTTTATTGTGTATGTGTGCGTGCTAATTGGTGTATGTGATCGTGGTTGTTGGCATGTGTGCGTGCGTGCTTATTTGCGTGTATGTGCGTGTTTGCGACGTACTTGACGAGGTCGGCGAGCGTGGCGCGTGGCAACAGGCAAACCCGCTCCATGGCATCCTCGCAGTACGCGAGGTAGTACAGGCAGATCGAAACGCCCGTAGCCGCCACAGACGGCCGTGGCACTTCTAGAAATTTCTAGAACAAACAATGTTTATAATTTAAGCGCTCACAAGAGGTCAATTTGTGATTTTAGAATAAATAGGTGAAGGAAATGGGTATTTCTTCATTTTTTAAAGGCAAATTCTACAGAAATATTATATTTCGGAGAGTTTGCACAGGAATCATATTATCTATTTCCTGTCTCCATTCTATCATCGGACAACCAGGTGGTCCCTTTGTTGTGGATATTCCACGCATTGGAACTAAATGGTATGCCTCGTAGTTTGTGATGCGCATGCATCAAAGGAGTGGAATAGTTGACCAGTATGTGTCTCCCCATCCGATTACAATGTGGGTGTCATTCAAGACAAGACTAAATATGATTTTGCTTTCATCGGGTAGGATAATAGTCAAGCACCAACTTATAATAGTGAAAAATATAATATACTGATTTCTCTTAACACAGAACGGTTGCATTTTTTCATTTTTCAAAAATTTCTCGCAGACAGTTCTCTTAATAACAAATTATATGTATATGCACATGATTTATGTACAGTAATTGTAGAATTTTAAGGATATATTTAAATACGATATTTCAATTGGCCATATTACAACTGACTCAGGCAACATCCGAATATTAGTGTAATGAATATTTAAGCGTCGCATCAGTAAGCGTATTATATTCACATTGAATATATAATTTTTTGACATTTTGAATATATAATTATAATAGCAATAATATAATAATTAAATTGTAGAAATGTAGTAGATTTAACTATAACTATAATTTTTGTATACCTAAATGTTGAATGTAGCAAACATAATTTTTTTCAAGATCTATTCTGTGTCATTACCTGCATTCACAAATAAATAAATTTGAATTAGGGAGACATAAATGCGTAGAAGATATTTAAAGTGCGACAAGTGTATATTCGCAAACAAACATCTTAATACTTGGTTACAATATGCAAAATTTATACGAAAGTAAAAAAAACCATCTCTAAAATATGCGTATTAAAAAAAATTAAAACGTCAGAAAAGCGTTCCCGCGTTCGAAATTTGAAATTTAAAATTTCTCTTTATGAAGTATAATTAAATATCGTAAAATTTTACATTAAATTTCTCTACACCGATTTTTTTCCGATCTCGATCTTACTGATGTTGAATAGTTAATTCCATAATAAATCTGAGTGAATCTAAAAGAAGATAAAGGTATTACCTGCAATCCACCCACGTTGATAAAGTCTATAGAGAACTTCTTATGACATAGTAGTGCAGCAAGGTACTTCAGGGCTTCGAACGCAAGTCTCGAATCACGAGACTCCCGTACATTCAGATAGCCTAGGATCAAACCTAGGGCGTTCTGCTCGAACACGTGTGATAGGAACTGTGAAAAAAAAAATCAGAGGTAAACGTTTGATAGAACACATAGAAACGTTGTAGAGCCACGCTGCAGCTATGTTATAGTTGTAGCACGAATGGGTCCGCTTGACCGGAGAAGGACCACGCTCTCACAGAATACCAGCGTAAAATAGCAACTTAATACTGTTTGGTTTCGTATGGTTAGTGGGGAGATCCAGAGATCCTTTTTACTGGAAACGAGGTATTCCAGTTTAATTCTCAGGGGTGACTACGCATGGGGTGCGAAGTCAGAAGTCCTCCACGTGTGCCTGGTAGTTGCGGGTCCCTCTCGATACGTGTGGAGGGAAGAGCAGATACTGGGCCGGTGCACCCTGGGCGCGGTAGTAATCATCCTCGAGAAATGAGAAGAAATTCTTACTCCTTGGGGAATGGTACTGCTGCGGCTAATTATTCTGACATGGGTGGGGTCCGTCCCGGACCAACGGTGCGTTCCACTGCGTGACCCTCTGATCAGCAGAGGGCATAGCAGAGGAGTGAGGGCGGGCTCGGTGTGCACTTACCCTGCCTCCGGGCAGACAGTGAAGGATTCATCCTTTGCTGTCACCGCCGGTCTCGTAATCCCAGTATCGAAGTGTCGTGGATCATGTCTCGCGGCTTTGATAGGGACCGAGGGTCTTGGCTTAACCGCCCGGACCGCGAGGGAGAAAACCTCTATAAAAAGTTACCCCGAATCTCAAGCGGCGACGCACCGCGAGGGGATGGATGGCTGACAGGGTTCTATGAACAAATCAGTCGTTAGTGCGCTCCTCGCCAGGGTACCTGCAGACCCCCTGGCGAGTAATAAATCCTCTAAATCTGCTTACCTTGGTAAGGGGTCCCTGCCAAGGTGGACCTTTAATTCCCCCATACTTGTGGGTACAAAAAATGGAAAACCAAAATAAAAAAACCAAAACCGCCGGCAACGGCAACGGAGAGGAGAGGAGGAACGATGCGGGGACAGAGTCCGACGCCGCATCGAGCAGCGTGGGAGGCTCAGAGAGCTCCCGACAAGTGGAGCCTGGGACCGCGGAGACCAGCAAGTTCTTCCGCAAGCGGTCCAGGCGGGATGGCGACCAGGGGTCGGCATCCGGTGAAGAGGAGGTTTCGGCCCGGAAAATCCCCACCAACAGGCGGGGCGGGCTGAGAGGCAAGGGGAGGGAGCTCTCTGCCAATCAGAGGGCCGAACGAGCGGCAAAGCTTGCCGAGGAGGGGCGCCACCCGGACGATACGGCTCGGGAATCAGGCGAAGAAACAGATGCGACTGGGCGGCTCCGAGGTGGAGCGTAAGGCCAGATTCGTAAAGGAGGTGGAGGCCGCGATCAAGGTCGTGGCCAACAAGCAAAAGTCCTCCTCGAAATTCAAGGCCATTCCCGCGGCCTCCGCCTCCATCATGGCGGCTGCGGAGGCCAACTTTGCTGGGGCCGGGCCTAATGCGGACGAGGTGGCGAAGCTGCGGGCGGAAGTGGCCCGCCTGACGTCCGCCATGGAGACTCTCCAGAAGGAGAATGAGAAGCTCCGCGCAGACCTGGCCAGTCTACATGAGCCTGCCTCTCGCGCGGCGCCCAAGCCAGCCCTTGCCGGTGGAGAACCAGGTTCTGAACCTGGTCCGGCAGGAGCTGGCTGCCTTCCAGCACCAGTTCTCCGTGCTGGAGGGCATCGTCCTGCGCCCCCCCCTAGGGGCAAACAAGACGGCGGCGAGGCCGGCAACGGTTTCTTACGCGACGGCCACGGCTGCCGCATCCAGGCCGGGGCCGTCCAGCCAGCCCTCGGGTGGGGCTGCAGTTGCCCCTCCCCCCCCCTGAAAAGCCGGCTCCGGCAAAACCGATACCGGCTGAACCGGCTCCGACTAAGCCGGCGACGGGAAAGAGAGGCAAGGCGAAGGCGAAAAAGGGCAAGGCGGCAGCACAGGTGGTGGCTGCGCCAGCCCCAGTGCCTGCGGCGATTGGGCCAGCGCCAGCGGCAAGCCAGATGCCGCCGCCGCCACCGCCCCCCCAGCTCCCTACACCTCCCGCGGCAGAAGCCGGTTGGCAGGTGGTCGGGGACAAACAGAAGGGGAAGAAGGCAGCCAAAAAGGCCAAAGAGCAGGAGCGGCAGCGCCAGTTCAGGGCGCGCAAGATCGCGGCTAGGCTCCGCGCCCCGAAGACTGCAGCTGTAGTGATTACACTACAGCCGGACGCGGAAAAGAAGGGCGTTACCTACCGCGATCTGCTCGCGAAGGCGAAAGAGGCGGTGGATCTCGGGGAGCTCGGGATCACTGGGGCCTCCGGCTCAAAGTCACCCAGACGGGGGCCCGTATGCTGGAGATCCCCGGGGAATCCAGTGGCGCGACTGCGGACGCTCTGGCTGCGAAGCTCAGAGCGTCCCTGAACGCGGACGAGGCCCGAGTGTCCAGGCCCGTCAGATGCGCAGACCTGCGCATCATGGGTCTGGACGACTCGGTATCGGAGGAGGAGTTGGTGGCCACCGTCGCCAGGTCCGAGGGGTGCACTACTGACCAGGTCAGGTCAGGCGCCATACGCCCGGACCAACAGGGTATGCATGCCGCCACGGTGTGCTGCCCTGTTACGGCGGCCAAAACCATAGTGGAGGGCCGAAGGCTTCTGGTGGGCTGGGTCTCAGCGCAGGTTAAGCTGCTGGAGCCCAGACCTCTGAGGTGCTACCGCTGTCTCGTGGGGCATCACGTATCAGCGAAATGCGCCTCGGAGGTTGACCGCAGTGGCCTCTGCTTCCGCTGCTGTCAGCCCGGTCACATATCGGCGACCTGCTGTGCCACGCCGCACTGTGGTGCATGTGCGGCGACCGGCAAGCCAGCCGATCACTGGGCCGGGAGCAGGGCCTGCGTGTCACCCGCCAAGGCCAAGGCCGCGGGTAGGGGAGGGCCCTCCTCCGCCGCCACCGCCTCTATGGCCACCGCCGCCCGCCGCAGCTGCAACTGCCGCCGCCGCCGCTGTCACTGTCGCCGCCGTCGCCGCCGCGACACCGACGCCTGCAGAGGGGCGCCCCGTGGAGGAAGCTGAAATGGAATGCCTATAACGGCCCCATTAAGCTTCCTCCAGGCGAATATCAACCACTGCGCCTGCGCTCAGGATCTGTTGCTCCAGAGCATGGCGCAGTGGTCGATTAACATCGCTGTGGTCGCTGAGCCGTATTCTGTCTGGCCTAGGAAGGACTGGGTGGCGGACCTTAACGGCTCAGTGGCCATCATTTCTTCGGCCGCCGCCGGTACCCCGACCCTTGAAGGTGTCAGGAGGGGTCAGGGGTGCGTAGCGGCACGGTTCGGGGAGTTCGTCGTTGTGGGGGTGTACTTCTCCCCGAACCGATCTCTCGCCGAGCTCCACAACTCTCTTGCAGAGCTGAGAGCAGTCGTCGTCGGAAGCTATCCCCTCCCCGTGCTTGTCCTCGGGGACTTCAATGCCAACAACTTGGCTTGGGGTTCTCGTCGTACAGATGTGCGGGGTAGGATGGTGGAAGACTGGGCTCTGGAGACAGGCCTGGTCGTCCTAAATCGGGGTTCTGTCCCCACGTGTGTGCGGATGCGGGGCGAGTCGGTGGTGGCCATTTCGTTCGCTAGCCCCACTCTGTCGCCGCGTGCCATTGACTGGCGAGTCATGGAGGGGGTGGAGACCTACTCCGACCACCGGTACATCCGGTTTGACGTCTCCACCCAGCCCTCGAGCGCGCCAGTCCAACAGGCCCCGAGTGGTCCGCGTTGGGCGCTGAAGCAGCTGGACCGGGAGCTCCTCCTGGAAGCCTCGATCGTGCAGGCCTGGGTGTCATCACCGGATAGGCCTGCCGACGTCAATGATGAGGCAGGGTGGTTCCAGGAGGCCATGTCCGAGATATGTGACGTGGCAATGCCCCGCGTCCGGCCAGGAAGCGCCCGGCGCCAGGTGTATTGGTGGTCGCGTGAGCTGACGTCTCTACGCGAGGCGTGTGTCGCCGCGCGGCACCTGTACACGCCAGGCATCGCAGGCTCCGCATTCGTCCACCGAATGCGGCAGCCATTGAGGCGGAGCTGTACGAGGGATACAGAGCGGCGAAGACCGCCCTCCGGGAGGCTGTCATGCGGGCCCGGGATCGGGCCCGTGAGGAGATGCTGGAGACTCTCGACAGAGATCCGTGGGGGCGCCCTTACAAGATGGTGCGGGATAAACTCCGCACCTGTGCCTGCAGTCTCGACATAGTTATCGATCGCCTAACAACCAATATCAGTTGTTAAGTCATAACAATCCTAATATAACAATATTTGGTAGTCTCTACTGTCAAAGTTATCAATTTAATAACGTTACCGTAACCACATTATTGAAAACTTTACAATTTATTGTTAAGTTAGGAAATATTTTATCAACCATTTTTGACAGCCCGATAAGTGTTCCTTACGATCGCAAGCTGTTGAATTGATGTTTTAACATTTATTCAAATCTATATTTAGCATAGAATTTGTCAGTGTACGAACATTGGCATGTTATGGTTATACGAACGCGGAACGCGTAGTGTTTCTATATAGTTTGTGGGTTATACGTCGGCAAATAGCACGCAACCGGCGCGATAGTGAAAATCCCTTGGATTTAGAGGATAGTCAATGTCTATACCTTTACAGAATTATAAAAGATATGTTTAACGAGCTTGTAGGTGAACTTGGACCATCTCTTCAAGAACAACAGCCGTGCGGACATTCTGTGGATTCTCGAGTGTCATCATGTAATTGTCTATACCTTTAAAAAACTAACACTATTTGTCGATTCTATTAACTTTTACTTTCATTTCCTTCTAAATAGGTACCTACTGATGGCACTTCTATTTTATGGTAGTGGGTACTATCAGCTGGCATGCTGGGTTGCAGCATGAGCCAAAAATCTGTTAGTCGAGTAATACATGCTGTTAATCAAAAATTATACATAATATGAAATTCCCTATGACCCATGAAGAGCGGCGAGCAGCTAAAGAAAAAATTAATATGCCCAACAGCAATTCCCAGATGCATTT